AGGGGAGAGAACTCAAAAATTGTCAATTAATTCAGTAATAGTCAAGGGGCTTTATTCAAATTATTCCAAAGGCTTTTTTAATAAGAATTCCTATTCATACTGACAACTGTCAGTCATTGTTTGATGCATAATGAGAATTTATTCTTTTCTTTTTTTAAGTTGAAACCAAAAGCAGCAGAGAGGTTGAGGATTCCTGGCAGACTTCCCAACCCCAAGGAGAGCAGGCACCGAGGGAAGGTGTCCCCGGCAGCCAGAGACCTGGGGAAATACTCCTGCATGCGCAATACCTTGCACAATAGGACTCCAAGCCTAACTGGGACCTTACAACATGAATAATACATGTATTGAAAAATATATATTCCAAGATACAGCATTGCAACCTAATAAAGCAGCCCTAATAAACTTGACCCTCAGGTGTCTCAAACTGTTTGTACTCTTTGTAGTTTTTATAGATTCATGGATTGTAAGGCCCGAAGGGACCTTGGAAGATCATCGGGTCCAGCCCCCTTCACCAGGCAGGAAAGACAAGTGGGGTGAGGTGACCCCAGCGAGGTGACCGTCCAGTCTCCTCTTGAAGATGTCCAGGGTAGGCGATTGCACCACCCATGGAGGGAGCTTATTCCACCGTCTGGACACCCTGACTGGGAAGAAGTGTTTCCCATTGTTTCCTAATGTTAAGCCTGAATCAGTCAGTCTTCCAGGAGTTTGTGGCCGTTACTCCAGGTTTTCCCCTCAGGTGCCCTGGTGAACAGTTGCTCACCGAGCCCTTGGTGTGCTCCCATAGAGTTGCAGTAAACTGCTACCAGGTCCCCTCCCAGCCTCCTTTTCCTCAGGCTGAAGAGTCCCAGATCCCTCCGCCTTTCCTTGTATGGCTTGCCGTGTAAGACGGATCATGCAGGTGGCTCTTCTTTGGACTCTCTCAAGCTTGTCCATGTCCTTGTTGAAGTGCAGCGCCCAGAACTGGACGCGGTGCTCCAGCTGCGGTCTCACCAGTGCGGAGTAGAGCGGAAGAATCCCCTCCTTGGCTTTGCTGGAGATGCACTGACTGATGCACGCCACCGTATCGCACTGCCGGCTCATATTCACACACCGGTCTATATATACCCCCAGGTCCCTTTCATTCGTGGTGCTGGTCAGTCTGGTGCTGCCAAGCCTGTAGGCATGTTGGGGGGTGCTGGTCCCGACGTGGAGCACGTCACATTTCTCGATGGTGAACGTCATCAGATCTGATCCGCCCGACTTGCCAGCCCATCCAAGCTATCTTCAAGCATGACCACGCTGCCCCATAACTTGGTGTATGCTGGGGGGGCAGCAATCTCTCTTCAGTCACTTTGAATACATTCTTGGTTGTTTTTGGCATGGAATGAATTGAGTTTTTGCTAGTTTTCAAATAAATCTCTAGAAATATGAGAAGTGACGTCCTATTTGCGTTGTTTTCTATAGGAATTTAAGGACCTGCTTGAAAAACTCAGAAGATACAGAGAAGGCATTTTCTCAAGACCTTTATTCAGAGTGTACAAGTACTTAATCTTCACCAGAAAGCTTCTCCAGAAATACTCAGCTGAATAGCTAGAAAGTGAAAGTACTCTAAATAAAAATAATAATTACTTTCCACCTCAACTGATCTCTTTCCATTCACATGATGTGCCCTGCTGCCATCAACCTACTGCTGCCTATCGACAGCCAGACTCTTCAAGCAGAAAACACCGACATTCCTAATATTAAAAAATTACAAAAACACACTGCAATTTCAGACCACTTTTAATACATTTACATGATAGAGATTTAAAAAAGCAAAACCTCACCTGCCTCAAATCTCTTTTGCAGAGCACCTTAACATCTGACGTACTTTACTGCCAGGCAGTACTCTGGTTTGGAACAAGGGAGCACCGAAGCCGAGGCAGAACAGCAGGAAACCCCTGACACACATCGCACACACTGCACCAGGAACGCTCTTCTGTGTACTCAACGGTTGCAAGCAGATGTTCAAGTAATTTATCACGCGACAAAAACGGCAAACCCACCACAAAGAATTTCTTCACTGAACGTGGAACTGGTTTGTGATGCGTGTTTGGGGGGTTAATTTGAATGTACGTAGACCCTCCACTATCCCACAGTGCTCTTTTCTCCCTCCTGCCCCTCCTCCCCCACCAAGGGAGAGGGAAGAAGAGAGCAGCTGGCTCTCTGATGGCCTGCCAGGCAGCAAGCTGTCAGGGAGGCTGGCACAGGCAGCTGGGGCAGGGAGGATGAGGGCAGAAAGCCGCAGTCAGCCCTTGCCACCTCCAGCACATTGCAGGCAGCCCTGTCCCTGCTGCCACTGGGTAGGAGTGAGGACAAGGCAGGACAGCCACGGCGTAAAGGATGACCGGGGGCAAAATCCCCATCAGCCCTCTCCCTGATCCTGTGCTGCTCACCCACCCTTTACACTTCCGAGTGTGCGAGCACCTGGGAGCACTGGTTTCCACACCCAGGAGCCCCTGGAGATAGTGTGGCAGCCCTGTCCCCTCGGGAGACACAGCAGCCTGCAAGGCCCCCCGACAGCTCACTGGCAGGCTCTCAGGGATCCAGCTGCTCTACACAATAAAGTGATCCACACAAGTTTTTTTCCTATCCAGGAATGGGGACCCTGACCACATGGAAGGGCACAACTTTTCTGATCCGTGACGAGTCCAAAGTTTCCGTTGTGTGAGCGAATTAATGTCCACCTGGCCCAAAGAAACTTAAAGGCAGTAAGAGTCTGAGGACAGCAATCAGAAGACCGGTATTGAACTGCTGTTTCTTCTGCATTAGCCGATTAACCTAGCTTTACATCAGAGAAAAAACGGTTCCAGGATCAAGGGAGGAATGAAGGAAAAGTAGGACAGCCAACTTTGCCACCCGCTCCTGAAAGACATCACACACGGCTCTGGGCCAACTTTTGAAACTCTTAAAGGATCCATCCTTCTGCAACCGAAGGGCAGACTTACCAAAATCACCATCTTTTCTTGCATTGTGCCGGGTTCCTTGTAACAAGCGTGGAAAGCAACGCGAAAGGGAAATAGTCTTTTCCAATAACATACCCAGTTATGAACCCAAGAACAAGCATTTCTTAACAGTGACAAAATAAATGCAGAAAAATGTGCTGCTTTGCAAAAGCCAAATAAAGCTTTTTTTTCTAGGCTCCCGGGTAACTTCCCAGACTATCACATTTGATCAGTTATTAAACAAAAACAAGACAAGAAGCCTCTTCTCCCATATTAGAGTAGTAACTGGATTTTTAATCTAACTATCCTTGTGACCTCTATCAAATAAGAAATTTTCTTACAGGGCCAGTTTTAGGTAATTTGTGTCACTAAGACTGTTGAAGTTATGACACAAAGGCAAAGAATACGACTGCAATATTCAATCTGGAAGAGGTAAGATATTTCTCTAGATTCATGGTAAATCAATATTACATTTCCAGCAAACAATTAATTTACACCGTTTGTGCCTGCATCTGAAAGCTGTACGTAGGGCATGGTTTTTCTTTAGCAAGTCATTTTTATTTGTCCCAATGGCACTACATTACATTCTGTGTTATAGCACGCCTTAACAAAAATGATTTTACTACATCGCTCCATCATCTGTCCAGACTTAATCAAGCACAACATTGCTTTCTGAAACTATACAGGCTCCTTACATCCCTCAGGGACTTTTTCATGGTAACCACTTTGGAAGAAAAATAGCAGCTCAGTGTTGTCAATTTATTAAAATTTATAACAGGCCAGTCACCAGCACAAAGTGAAATGGCTCCCTGCCATACAGCTCGCAGAAGAAATTAAGAGCTTCTTTAATATGTACCCATCTCGATGTGTCAAATTTTGGGGGCTATTTTTAATACATAACTGTTCTGATAGGCACAAAGCACAACGCACCTACGAAGAAATCTGGCCTGTTCTTTTTCAAATTGGGGCTGACCAAAATGTTTGCCAAGCCCAGAATGTGGGACTCTTATATTTGCTATGGAAGAAGAGGAAGCACAAACAGGAACTAAAAGCAAAGGCTGGAAACAAGAAGCGCAATCACTGGGAAAACATTCCAGAACACCTGTCAATTAATCCCACTTCCCGTTTCACATAATTGTTCTGTAAAGTGTTGCCCCCAGTCTACAGCTCTGCCTGCCCCTTTCCCATTTATCAGAAAATGAGTCCAACACGCTTCGAGCAGGCCATTGCAGCACAAGTTTTTGGATTGAATGTGAGTATTGGGAAAGTCAGAAGTCAGTTTGTGGGTCATACCAGGATCATAATACCCAAGAATGGTTCAGAAAGGGCTTATCTACTAAAGTCGTATCTGTTGCATGGAGCCAGCTTGATCCCAAAGGTTTACTGCTGCCAGCAACATGAATCACTGAAAGGTTTGTACAAAGAGAGGGGGGAAAGGTGGAAATCGTTCTCTTTCCAAACCACGATTTGGTTTATATTCACAGCGATCTCACCCACACTTTTCCAAGACCAATAAATAACTTTAAGAAGTATTCCTGGGTTCCCAAGAGCAGCTGTGCCCATTTCTTTAATGAGGAAAGAAATTTAAATAATTGAAATGTACTGTCATAATATTCAGCACAAAAAGACGACGACTTAACCTTTTTACGTAGTATTTCACAAAGGGTATTGAGTACTTCAAACTCCTAGGCCCAAAGCTTGCACAGCTCAACCATACCAGGTACAAGGAAAAATGGAGTATTACTGGAACACAAATGCTATTTCTAGGCCTACATTAAACAGGATTACTGCACTGATATTTGTTCCCATGCACAGCATGAAGCTGATCATTTAATTTTAGACCTTGAAAAGCTGAAACTAAATGGTAACACGTAGCAATGGATGTCACTTGGAGTGTCCTAATCTCCAACGCCGTGCTTCCAGCCAGAGTGACCCAAGCAGGAGCAGCAATAATGCAACCAGTGTTAAGATAATAGATATTACAGCTGTTACATTACCAGCTCTATAGTCCAAGCCAGAAGTGTAACAAGAGCCGGAGCTGCTGCACCTTTAACATATAACACTAAATGTCCTAGCAAAGTTGGGTGCATCTATTTGAAATCCAGGTGAAGTTGGCAGAAGATAGGCTCCTGGCCCATGGGAAGTGTAAGGATGTCCTCTGCCAGCCAAAGCACTATAAAGACACTGCAGGAATCAACAACTCGGAACTGTAG